TGAAGTACCTAAATTGTCTTCATTCTAGAGCAAAGTATCCCAGATGAATTTGTAATATTGCATCTATCCTCTGGATAATAAAGTTAAGACGTGCTGTATTAATGATTCAAGTGTTTGATTAGTCAACTTTAATCATTTTCGTGGATCCTTACCATCTGCTTTCGAAATATAGCTTAAAGCTTTTTGCAAAAAATCTGCGGTGTATTCAAAGTACTAAACGTTTATAATGTCTATGATGATGTATATATCATTTACCATATGATGGATAAACATGCGTACAAATTAGTAAAATACTAGTTAATATAGCTTTACCTTTCACTTTACTACTCACAATAGTGTGGTAGGGATAACGACGAATTACAATGAGAATCTTTGATAGTTTTTTGCTTTCATTGATCTATTTGTACCGACTAATCCTCTCTGTGTCTTCTTCTAAACTTCTATGTTTAAATCATAACTTGTCTTTACCCTTTAAAAAGTTAGTGGAAGGGAAGGAGTGGGAAGAGACGTTATATAAGCAGTTTTGATATAGCTGGAGAGCTGTCACTAATCTTCTGAGTCTAATTACTAAGTTTCGTCACTACTACATATCTTATATATTTAGGGTGAGAAGTGGGGATAATAGAGAGGGGTAGGTAGAAGATGAAATGCTGAGTCAGTTACTAGACACTGCCAAGGATAGACGTGTCAGTCTGCGGATTTGAGTACCAACTGAGCCTTCTAGCTCTCTTACCACTACTTTGTGTTAAGAAGAGGTGGGGTGGAGTGGGGGTAGGTATTATAGGGGAAATGGTGGGGAAGTTGAAGACGAGTAAATATAAGAAGCTCGCTCAAGCTTTAGAGCATCATCAAAAACCAACTGTGCAAGAAATCAGACCTCTTTGATCAGAGAATGTGTCGTTGATGCCTAAAACTTTCAAAGATCCTGGAACATTTTTGATACAGCAGGTACAAAAAACAATAATATTCTTGACTTTTTGAATGATCTGTACGATAAAAATGTCGACACAGATAGAATTGAAAGCAAAAATTTAAAGTAGAAAATATATATGGGTGTTTTTCACTGGTTAAGGGTGGGGCGGATTCCCTACCATGTTTTGTCTATGATATGTTTGTAAAGATGTATGAGTGGCATTTTTCATTTATTAAAATAATATGATATAGATAAACACTTTCCTAATGTATATGTAAAGTTAAAACAAAATTATGTGTACGGTTTCGAAAAAAAAAAATATTCATGAAACTTCCTGTTTTTGTCGTCTTTGACATATAGAGGGGCCAAAATTAATGTTGTCGTCCTAGATCCTTTCATAGTCAACCTAATCACAATTCGCTTAAACAGTTGTTCTTTAAACAATTAATTCAAAGTTGCTTTTTTTGGTTAAAAAAAATATTTCCAGTTTCTTTGATACATTTGAAGCAAAAAACTATTTAGGGTGTACTTACCTATACCTGATAGTGTTTTAGTAGAAAATTCTCGAAGCTCGGAAAATTGCGTTTTATCCAATTTTTAAAGCCTTTGTGAAGAATTGGTATTGGTATTTTGATTTCTACGACTCTCTTCAGCATTTGCTATATCCGAGGCCATTTTTGCTTTTAACTTTTTGCCCTAACTGCATGGTGTGCGAGTCTTTCATGCTAGCCCTGTTGCAAAGTTCTCCTGAGACAACTCGGTGATCCATCCTAATAGGTACTATTTACAGGGCACATCAATTGTCTCAAGCACACCCCAGCTATTATCAATTTTAATGGAAAGATATTTTCCAATAAACCATGTCATTCTCTGTACTGACCTTTTTATAACCAACAGAAACTTTACGTGATGCGTGGTGAGCTGGCCAGGTGTTGACTTTCCTTCGAAAAGGAAGCCCCTGGAGGTCCAGATATCACCAGAAAAATCGACTGTTAGTTTTAAAATCAGATAAGTGGTGTTTTGGCATCCTGGGTACTCATCCCATTGGAAAAGCCCAAGAAAAATATCTCGAAAACTTTCGACAGGATTCGAACTTATGACCCCTCGAGTATCTCTGGCTAGGAGGCTAGCATGCTAACCATTAAGCCACCGAAGCTCTTAAAACTTTGTAAAGTATGAAAATAAAACATTTTTGCAAGGCACACTACGTAAACGTTAACTATCAGCTTTCCTGTACAATCTATAAAAAATAAATTTTTGACTAATTAGGTGGCAACATTCTTTTTTGTAGTTAATATTTTGAGCTTTTCAGCATGCGTGCCTACATCAGAGTGTACCTTTGTATACATACTTACGATTTGTGCCTCAGCGTGTAGTAAATATGTATATGTAAGTACGGGAGTGGTCGCTGAATCGCTTTGAATGTTTAATGCAAAAAACAATCACTCAATTTATAGACATTTTCTTTATTTAGATTGTAGAGAAAGGGTAATAGTTAATGTTTAGCTGGTGGGCTTTGTGAAAATGGTTTATTGTAATACTTTACCAAAGCTCTAAACTGCGGGGCTTAAGTATATACATCCCAGTTAGTTTTCTGTTCTGAATATGCCGAAGAAACCGAAAATATTTTTTTTTTTCGATCAAAAAACAACTTTGACTCATTTTTAAAATAAACTGTGACTTAATTGCGCGCTGATAACAAAAATATTCTTATTCCGTGGGATCTACTAAAAATGATTTAAAAAAAAAAACGTACTGCAAAAGGATCTGAAACGATGCTGCCAATTTCGCCTCCTCTGATAAGCTTTAAGGAAAACTAAACGACAAAATTTGAAGTAAAATCTATTGCACTTTATGAGTTAATAAAATAGTTTTGAAAAACAAATATGTTATTGATAAATATTGTCTAAGAAAACTAATTAATTAAAAAAATACCTAGTGTTTCTTTAAATACTGGCAAGTTAAACACAAATATATATTCTAAAATTAATATAGCAAATGTTTTTGGGCTATGTTAGTAAAGCTGACTCAATACACAATGTCTTATGCGAGTACACGTGCTTCCATTTGAATATAAGAGAGAAAACACTTAGTTTAAACGAGGTTTCCATGGTATACCATGGGAGTCAGGGAATTTCTCGTGCAATAATATCGAAACAAAGCTTCAAAATTAGATGCACAGTTTTGGAAACAAAAAAGTTCATGGCTTATTGACGTAACAATGATGGAAGGGACTTGAACTTAAGGCATCTATTACAGATTTGGGTTTTCTACTAATGAATAAAATAAAACCAGCATTTCTTTGCCCCTATCATAATGGACCTAAATAAATGGGTGTTAACATTGCCCACAAACTTTATTTTTTATATCAATTAGTATTATTTATAATGACCTTTTTCTTTTAGTTACTAGTCTACAAAAGGTAAAATTCAAAAGTTGTATCTCACAAACAAGAACATTTTTTCTTAAGCACGTATTAAAGTTGCAAGCATACTATTTAATGGAATCAACATCATAAAGATTAAACATTCATAAATAACCTAAAAAATCCCTTCGGAATTAAGCCACTGCGTAAATATATGTGAGTACAACAAGTATTTAAGTCACATTTAAGTAGTGACAAGAAATATTTTTGGGAGTTAAGCTGTTGCGAGCACATACAAGTGATAACAGTAGTAAAGCCATATCACATTTGAGCTGACTTGAAGTAATTTCTTAGTTATTTTAAAGTTATCTTCAGGACAATGTAAGATAATGCTCAAGTCAGCTTTAAATGTTCTTAGGATATTTGAAAATATTCGTAACTAGATACTCGTTAAAATATTTCATAACTTATCTTTGGCCCTAATCCAATGACTTTCTTGACCACATATTTGCCTCGATAAAAGGTAAGGGGTGGATCGTGTTGGAGTCTCTGCCGGACTGGACGCTATTCTTCTCCAGTCAGGAACTTCGAGATACTGCTTCCAAAGGAAATAATTTCCAGAAGACTAGAATGGCTGCTCCGCCGCTTTTAGTTGCTATTTCATCGTGTACATAGTTTATTGTTTGAAGAAAGAATAATGAAGCAGTTTTTCTGTTTAAATATGCTGATTGCCTAAGTTATTTTATACAGCTGAAAGGTAATAGTTTATGGTTTGGAGTAAGCATGTGTGTATGAAAAAAGGTATCGTTTGAAGAAGAAAAAAAACGTAGTTATATAAATTTTGGTTACTTTATTGTCTGATGCATTTGTCATCCCGCTAAGCCTCTCGTTAATGATACTGTCTTAGTATAAGAAGTAAAAGTAACATGCTTTTTAATATTCCACTTTTTTTTGCATACCTGATATCCTTTTCCCATTCACACTTTTTTCAGGTTAAGTGTGTTTGTTTACATTGTTCTGGAACTTGATATTTCATGTTTTTATTAATTAATACTTTTTAATTAGGATCTGAAGTTGATAAAAACTCTTTTATTGAATCGTTAACTTCTAGAAACTCTATTTTACTCCCACTTACAATTACTTCCACATAATGCAACTCCATTACATGTAACAGTCTATAATTCCACTACATTGTTAGAATCCTGCATGGAAATAAGTAAAAAAAGTGATATTAATGAAGTCATTGGAGAAGAGAGTCCAGTTTTATTTACTACTCTGATAAAAAACACGCAGTTGTACATCTTTACTGATCATCTTTTTCAAGCAAAACTCAAAATCTTTTGATTCATTTCATAGTTCATCGATTTTATAGTTACTTATAAAAAATTGCAGATCTCACTTTTGTTGAAAATGAGTTGTATTTTATACTAGAGAACAATAAGAATAATGGATCACTCATATAAGACAAATATAAAAATACTAAAACATTAGATGGATCACGATTGGAAGATGTAGTACTAATGCATCACATGAACGAAGATCCCATTAACTATAAGTAAATTACGTGGTAATATAGTAATTTATGTCATTTGATCGTTTTCTTTATGGATTGTTTTGAATACGTTTTATCTCATAAAATCTAAATTTCAATGTTAAATTTTTTTTTTGTAGGAAAAGTAGTGATACGTTTAAGAAAATTACAAAACAGATCTTTAAGGTATTTCCAAGTGAAACTAAAGCAGAATTCTAATAGATTCCGTACAAAGAAGCTGTTGGTCATAGAAGTACGAACGCTAAGAAGTTGCTTTACAATTATTATAAAAAGTTAAGATAAGAGAACATCGATGATCGCAGCAGTCAATCTTCCGAAGGTAATGAGCAATTTTTTAATTCAGATTAATTGATTGTTTTGTTTCTAAGATTATGCAGTAAACTGTTACAGTATGCCTATGATTTGGTTGTACGTATACTAATTTTAACAAGTGGATTCGGCTACAATTTAATTTTATATTTTTATATTTTTTTCGAGTTACTTACAGTGAGTTTGTTTGAGCACATAGACTGTTCGTATGATAAAAAACGTGATTACAGTGCTATACTAGTCGGAAACACATTTGATTTGATTTATTGACTGTAAATAATGAGAAAAAAGGAGGAAATACATCTGTTTCTAGTTCAGCATACTGACGAACATTCCCACGCTTGACTGACTCTGTAGTTACATCTGGTAACTACTTATTAATATGCAATTCAAATGTGTTTATCATTTTAATGTAATTCAACTAACTTCGTTTTTTAGCTAACGAAAGATTATGACAGGATAACGAGAAACTCAATTAGTAATAAAGTTCTACCGTGTACGTCAAATAGTTGTGAAAAAAATTTCTTTGAAAATACTTGGCCCCCTATAGCTGTGGAAATTTTCAAACTTATCGGAAAATAAAATCAATAATTATTTTAAAGCAGAAATCAACAAACAATTCGAAAATTTAATCATCTTCGCGGAAAGAGAGCTTTAGAAATTAAAAAAAATTAAAAAGCTGAAAATTTATTATGGATTCGAAACTTACTATAACCTCCGCTCGCCTTATTCATAATTCATAAGCACATAAATTGTGCGTTGCACATACAGAACACTCAAATGGGTCATACAAAAATCAGTGTTGGGTCCATCAGATTACTTCTAGATGCCTATAGATGTAGGTGTGCGTCAGTATACAGTGTGAGAGGAGAGCTCTCACTCATAAATTTAGTCAGAGAGACTCGAGCTGTGGGATTGGAGTTGTATGCAACGGACTGCACGTAGCAGTGAATATAGTTGCAGTGCGCAGCATTCTTTTTCTGCCCGGTATTCAAGCACACACTTTTGGCTGTAACGAACCGATTTTGTTGAAATTTTGCACACTTACTCATGACACTTTCTAGATAGTTTTAGAATAGTTTTTACCTTAAAAAATTTATCAACAATAGAAATAAATAAGCTCAAAGTTTTGCAAAAATACGACAGCTTTTCACTTTAGTTCAGTAGGATTCGTTAGGTGGCGTCGACATAAAATCGAGGCTACCTGCAACAGAATTAAACAAGTACCGTTATAATACGCCGGAGCTTCTCAAAAAATGATGCAGTCATCCTCTGGCAGTTCATCGAGCTCCATAGAGAATGTAGATAATAGTCGTGCAGTTGGATATCCCGGTTACGGACGACACTCTTCTCTCAGGGGGGAAGGGACCTAAGTCAAAATCCACCCAGAATCTCAAAGAGTGCCACCAATAAAAAATCATTTTAACTGATGACGTCTTTGGCGTAATGCCATGCAGGAGACATATCTAGCCAGAGCACAATCTACTCCAACTCTTCAGAGTTGTGTGGCAGTCCCACAATCCCCCCTGGTGCAGTCAGAGAATTTTTGGCTACAAATGTAAGCCAGGAAATACAGCTCTGAGGGGCATGGGCAGCCACAATGGCTACCTTCTTAGTAGTCGTGTCCCCAACGTGCATTCCCACATGTTTCCGTCGAACAATGAGCGGTTGGTTATCCGGGGAACGACCCGAAGACGAGATATTTTTTGGTTAGCGGCGTACCTCCCTCCATCACAGTCTCCGTACACAGAGACTTCGAGGGTAAGAGTCAAGCTACCCGTAGCCAGCTCTTTATCATTCAGGAATAATAATAAGGAATAGCTGGAAGTTTCACTACTGGCGCTTTTTAGGGCCATTATAAGTATTTACGTTTCCTACTTAACCATTAATTTCATCGGGTTTTTTTAGAGGCCACCTAAATGTAAACTACCTTGCCAACAAATACATTTTTACTACCATTTTCGGAAGCGATTCGTCGAATAAAAGACTGTATTAACTAAAGACGGCCTCAATTAAATTAAGTCAGCCATTCACTAGCAGTTGTCACGAGCAGAGTTGTTCTTCGCAAGGCTGGGGAACCCGGTGACCGACGACCCTATATTACCCTCTCGACTCTAAGCATTCAACCAGGAATCACCGATCCCCGCGAAGGTCTGCGCTGGGCAAACCTATAGCAGATATAAAGGGAAAAAAACTTGAGCCAACGGGACAGTCTCCACCAGGCAAGTATCACTAACCAATCTCCCTATCTAAAATCACCAAAACAACTGAATCTGCAAATAAAATAGGTGCCTTAGACATCAACGTCTTCGACGTTATACCAGGAGACGTTGAGAAAGATCTTTACAACTAGCTCCAAAGCTTCGGACTTTGTAATTTCTTTCCCAATCAGTCTGGGGCTTAAACAGCAGGCCAGAGAAGATCATCCTGAGGTGTCAAGGCAGTCACAATTGCTGTAAACTTCAGTTAAAAAAGGGTTTACTCAAGAAGCTCACCGGTGTTTTTTAGAGCCATTGGACGTCAAACTATCTTGCCAACAAATATATTAGAACTTAACAAAGTTGAATAGGAAATTTAACAAGAAAATCTATCGAGATTGAAACAGCAGCGTCAAAATCGACAAATAAAGAATTTATTACTTAAGTGATCAGCTTTTTATTGTACCCTTACAGTAACCTCTCAAATCTGAAAAGATCTTAATTTAGATTTTTAAATAAGTAGAAAATTTAATAGTGTTTTTGAGGTAATAAAAAATGTAGAGTTTAAGCTCCAGGACTTTGTTGCTCTGGTAATAAAGTTGTGAGATAAGAGAAAAAAAGTTTTTTTAATATATATTTTTTCGGAGTTTAAAATCTTAACAGCGTTAAAAAATAGCCCTTTTCGTCAATTATATGGGAGAAACTGCAAATCAAGGGCTCTTTATGGCCAGCAACCATTTTATGGCATAAGGAATGTACGGTACTTTTCAGCATAATTATATTTTTTTTAATTCTTACAGCCTATTATTTGACCAAACAAACTATATGGATTCCGAAAAAATATGTTTTTAATAAGAAAATTTTTGTTCTGAGATTTATCAGGAATATGTGTAAAATTTCTAACTAAAAACGTTTCACATTACATGTCAACACACTACGGTGTTTTATTTAGTAAGTCTCGCGCGAAGCCGAGACGGGTGGGGGACCGCTAGTACTCCTATACGTATAACATGAATCTGTGCTTCTACTGCAATTACACATGATAAATTTACATAAGACTCAGGCAGAGTAAACAAACAAGACCATGCACCTTGTATTAGAAAGCATTTGAGTACTATATTGATGCATACAGTACAGTTGTTATTACGCCGTCAGCACCTGTATTATTACATACTTGCATACATGCGCAGAAGTACAAACACAGATCCGTACACTATTAACAATACGTATGCCAGTCAGTTACCAAGAGTAGATATAGCGATAGTGTATTTTAGCGCTCTAGAAGGCAAATACTATCATTTAACGCATAGAAAGAGAGTTTTAAATCAGGCCCGACATCATTGTGGCGTAGCAGATAGGATACGAGGTGTGATCAAAAAGTAAGGTGACTTTTTAAATTGCGCGCGCTCTTTACACTCTAAGTTAAAATTTTTTTTTTTATTATGTTAGTACACTTGTCACAATCATATGTTCATAGTTTTGACTATATAGCATGTGTTGTTTTTATGTGAGAGACTTAAAGGATAGACTCGTGTTTGCGTACTCGGCGATTTCTTTTTGTTGAAAATAATGGAGCAAAGAGTTTGTATTAATTTTTGTGTAAAAATGGTATTAAGTGCTCAAAAACTCTTGAAATGTTGACAGTGGCCTACGGTAAGTCAACTGTGAGCGAAAAAAAATGTTTATTAGTGGTATAAGTTATTCCAAGAGGGCCGAGAAAATGTTTATGATGAACCTCGCTCTGGGTGACCCAGCACGTCAAACACCGACGAAAATGTTTAGAAAGTGAAAGAAATGGTGCTAAAAAATCGTCGAATCACGATTAGAGAAATAGCTGATTATCTTGACATATCGTTTGGCTCATGCCAATCAATGTTGACGGATGTTTTGGGTATGAGACGTGTATCCGTGAATACCATGATAATGCACCTGCGCACTAGTCGTTATTAGTTAGTAGTTTTTTGGCCAAAAACAGTACTTCCATCATGCCTCAGCCACCATATTCACCAGACTTGGCCTCCAGCAACTTTTTCCTCTTCTCAAAATTGAAAAAGCCAATGAAAGGACGAAGATTTGCCACGAGTAAGGAGATTAAGTCTACATCGCTGGAGGAGCTCAAAGCAATACCCAAAATAGCATTTCAGAAATGTTTTGACTACTGGAAAAAGCGTTGGCACAAGTGCATTGTATCTGAGAAAGATTATTTTGAAGGGGATAACATAGTTTTCGATGAATAAATAAAAAATTTTTTATACAAATGAAAAGTCACCTTACTTTTTAAACACACCTCGTATTTAGCTGCAGATGTCGTATCAGAAATCCCTGTGCCGTAAACTCCCTTGCTTAAAGCAGATAATAGTATACAAGCGCGATTGATTATACTCTCTCACTTTAGTTTCTGGGCATACTCATAGTACACTTATCGTTCCGTCGGTAGGCGTATACCAATAAAAATCAAAGCAAACTCATTGTACATGCATGCGCCAAACAAACATTCAGATTGCAGACACACACACACATGTGCGCGTGCGTGGATATATATATATATATATATATCTTCCTATATTATATAGTCGTAAGAGTAAGAGCAAGGTTCCCCCCCGCTCCCCGCAAATAAGGTAGTTATTCTTTCATTTTATTGCATTTTTCGAGTAATCCTACTTCTTTGCTAGCTCCCCCCACCTTCCTCCCGCTCCCCCCCAGCTTTCCCATACATAATGTAAATATATCCGTAAAGTCTTATATATTAACTGTTACAAGTGGTCTAATTTTCACATATAACTTTATTCGACCATAACGAAAAAATTTGTTA